TTCTGATCGAAGAAAGATCAGATGTCGATTTTGACATCATGATGGTTAGGATTTCTTCTCTAGGAGTGGTCTGGAGAGGGAAGCAGGTGGGCATCCTTTGGCTCGAGGTCAAGCTATAAGGTGGATGCGAAAGAACTCTCCGTCCGAGAGTCCTAAAATTTTCCTGATTTTCTTAGCAAGAGGTGGTTCAACGGTGTCATAAAAAGCAAACTTTGCATTGCTTTTCTTTCGTATTGAAAGCGTTGCAATCGAGCTGTGGACGGTTGACTTTCGCGTTGACTGCGACATCTACACGAAGGGTTTCCTAACTCCTCTCGTATTCCACCAAAAATCCGAGAAGGCCCTACTTGGACGAGGTTGAACTTAGCAGTAAGAACTCCCGAAGCGTTTGAGCTGGACTACCGCCGCTTGTTTATTTGTTAGCACACTGTACCCACTCCTCATCTTCGGCAAATGTGATGGATGGTCAATCGAAGAATCCATAGTAAGTCGACTTGAACATGACGATGTCAGATCGTGTTTGGAGCTGATTCGGGCTCAAGGCATGTGGGATCCAAACTCTATATTTTCGGATCTTTACAAGTCTTTGGAGATGCCACAGTGCTGTCTCCTTGTCGCATCGGAATTGCTCTAGCAAATGATCGATACTCTATCCAGATCCCTTTTCAACAGCGTCAGATAGAGCATCGTGATTGTCAGTCACAGGGTGGTTGGAGTGTGGATTATTTTCAAATAAAAAAGTCAACGCTGAGCAGAGTGAAGCGCCTGTGCACCGTGAATTGAGAGAGCGTGCCCTCGCCATCTTCTGGCTAATCCTTGGTGTAGCATGACTTGCGGAACATTCCAAGCAGTACTCGTAAAAATTATGGGCACGAAGACCTTTTCGCGAAATCGGTGTAATATCCACAACAAGCGAGACAACGAGCTGGATGGTTGGCTGAAATTGCAAAGGTGGATGCTACGTCAGCAAACATGTTGCGGATTTTTCGGAGTTCTCACAAAAATTTTCTAGCATTAAATGTAATTTGTTGCAAGACTTATGGACAACCTAATAAATCACGAAGGAATAAATCTCCCATGGGCAAGGAAAGAACTACCGATATACAGAGTGGGCCAGAATTATGAGGACAGCGTGTAGGCGCGGTCATACTCACTTTTCCGAGTCGCTCCAGTTTCATCTTCATTTTTACGCACTAAGATACAACGTCCTCTTCGGGTGTCCCCCAAGAGGCCCATCGCGCGGCGAAGGAAGAGACGCAGATGCGGCAAAGGACGAGTCGCAGCGCGTGCTGTGCGATATGAGACGTAGTATGGTACACTCTATTTAACCTGACGCCTAACCGCTACAGTATGGCCGATGTTCATAGTTTGCGAATCGAGCGATTCGCTAGCAAATCGCTCGATTCGCAAACTATGACATTCACCTATGGTGCGACTCGTCCAGTGCCGCACCTAGCGTCGCTTCCTTCGCCGCGTGATGGGCCTCTTGGGGAACACCCTCCTCTTCCTATTGGAACCAACTAACTAAAGCTAACTATCATGCTCAATGTTCATCGGACTGGTTGCACAGCAACCGTCATCGTTGGTAGAAAACTTATCGTTTGTAGTGGTTTACAAGCGGATCGATGTTTGTCAAATTAGATTTTTATTTCCTATGATTTTCAATGGCTAATGCGACCAGAACACTGATTGACGATCCACCAAATAACCTAATCTGCAACTCGCAAGTTGGTAAGCACGACAGGGATCACGTCACTCCCAACGATAAGGAGTGCTACCATTTCTTATTTCTCATACAATTCCATTCAGAACACTGGAAAGCTTTCTGTAAACCAAGAAAACTCGATAAAGGCTTCAGGGAAGACGTAGTATCAATGCAATTAAGTCCCTAACCTTTTATGCGAAATCTCTAAGTATTGTGTTGCGAAGATTCAAAGACCTTAATGTTGTGTAACACAAAGAGGCACAAAAAAAAAGGAACAAGAGTCTGCAAGAACAATCATTCCGAAAAATCTTAATAACAAGACAAAAAAGAATTCCTTTGAAAACTATCGCGATATTCCGGCGTGTAACACGTTTGTCAGGCTTGAACTTGCCTCAGCCAAGTATAAACTACCCCTACTTCGGGTAGCTTCTTTGTGGTATGTGGTCTAATGAAATTATTTTTCAAATAAAAGTTTTGGTTGTGCTTCTTTCATTCAGTGAAAATCTATCTGAACATATTTCTATGTAGGTGAGGAAGCCCCTCTGGGGCGCTCCTTCCTGAGCAGGCACAGTATAAATTTTAATGTTACGAAAGCACTGGCTAGCAAGTGCGACATGTCCAAAACACGTGACAACAAAATCATGTGATTATACAATTTTTCATTATTTTTCCGGAACAAAAGTTGTGAAAGTCATGCGAAAAGAAGGGCAAAACATGTTTGACAAGCTACCCTGGTTGACGGTATAAAAAGTGTAGCAAACCGTGAGCGCTCCATCAAGCTTCTATGGTGGTCGACATGCTTTTCGCTTATCTACTCTTGGTACGTTCTACAAAAGGGAACAACTTTTGTACATTTCGTATCAGTGAAGTGCAACTCATCACCGCTGGCATTTCCAGGCACTACAGCTCAGCACTAGAGTGGATGCTAACGCTGAAGGTTTGTTCAATTATTCATTTTAAGGTCGAGTATAGATCGATGTACCAATATATACCGGCCACGCAGGACTTCCTGTACACTCGACTTCAAACTGGGTAATCAAACTCCATTGTAACAATAAAAAAAAGTCTGAACAAATCGGCGGAACAGCAAAAACAATTTATGGAGTCAATGAAAGTAGCATCTAGGTTCTATAATTACCCGTCCTACGCTTCTATTTTTTATCGTGCCTATGTTTTACGGAAAACAGGATAACTAGGTGATAGTGCTCGTGGGTGATAGTGTTATCCCTGCCTCTTAGGAATTACTGAATTGGAATTCAGTATACTGTGGTTTGCCGAAGGTGGCCACTCTGTTCACTTACAGTCCCCATCAGCTGTTCTCTTACCTGCGTGCGATCTCCGAAAAGATCCGATTTCATGGGCTGCGCCTACGCGGTCTGACTGTGCTCCCGTGTCTGGAGGAGTGCTGAACTCAATGCTCTCAGCCCTTTCATATACACCTCCACGTTTATTCATGAAACATATCATCCTATGATTTATTGCTTACCTTAGCTCAATTGACAAGCATGACAGATGGTAGGGCAGTGAAAAATGAGTGGGTACTGTGGGCATGGCTCGAAATCTTGATCAAATCTTGCCGACTTAGACCACGCCGATTTAGCACAAAAGGGTTTTCCAAGACAGCTCTAGAAGGCTCGAGAAAGCAATTTTGAATACATTTCTACAAGGCCTACACTCAAAAGCGACGTGACAAATGATAGAAGACCGTCGATTTCTGTTGAAATCTTCTGTCATCCGTTATTTTCGTAACAGAATTTCGATTCGAAATCTGGCAAAACCTTTCCCAAACTGTGAAATTGTGAAGTAGTTTACCAGAATATCTGTCGTTATCGGCTGATGATGAATCTACACACTTGATCAACTGAAGGAGAAATCAATTTCAATTTAGGTTCTCTCTGTGTCATTCGTGAGATAGAGTCGCGAGAGGTACGGAGCGACCTGACCAAACAATACGCATTTAGTTGCTTTTGGAGACGACACGCATAGACCACCAGACTGAAATTTACCCAAAAGCTTACTCACCTTTTCAAGCTAGCAGAGGAACGTTATGTCCAATGAAATAGTGAAACGAGGCGAGTAGACAACCTTTCATCTTACAAAGCAAGGTTTATGAAGTGTCATGAAAATGCACATTATCTATCTATACCTGGTACGTCCTAAAAAATAGAGCGATTCTGTCTTACACGTTTGGTACTGAGAAAGGTCAGCAGTGGTATTTGAGCCTTTAGGTTCCACAATGGATTGGAAATCCGAACTCAAGTCTCCTCTTTTTATGAACCGTGCTTTTTCGAGCTCGAATGAGAAGTTTGAAGATAAGGTAGAGCACCAAAGATGGCTATTGCGTATATGGTTCAAAATGTCGGATCGATTCGAGCCCATGCCACCTAGATTTGCATTTTCCCTGATGTCTGCCGACCACAGACCTACATATCGAAGGATTCTACCCTTCAACATCGAATGTACTCCCGGAAGACATTTAGGTCTAGAAATATACACCGAGGAATTCTACCATTACTGTACGCGGAAGTTGCAATTCGTCGGTGTATTCCAATCCATTCCACCGGAAGGATGACCAATCGAACCTCATTACTCACACTCAGCGCTCTATCTTCACGATCCATTCCAATCATACGTCTCCTCTACAAGATAAAGCAAAACGGCTGAAGGCAGAACGCTCAAATAATCGAGAGTCCAACTCCAGATACTTCTCGAAAATGTCTGTTCCAATGAAAAAGACAGATCGTGTGACCCGGCGATCGATGAAAATGGTTAAAAAGGCGAAGAGCAGCCACTGGTGATACATCAACAAATGAGGTATATGTAACCTCATTCACATGACGCTTCCTATACACGCAGCATTGTATCGAACACTAACTACTCAGAATTACAGTAGGATCGACTAGAAGATGAATAGCCATTGGTAATTCGTGCCTTCAATTAATACGAAATTTCCGGGTATTAAGGAACTACCAAGCCAAAGTAAATCGGAACTAGCCCCCATTTTTAGCCCGCCATTACCAACAGCACAGCATGCTGCCATGGTAATCACCTTCCTATTTTTCTTTCTAATGACATAAATATTCCACAACACCAGAACTCTCAGACCTACAACTGCAGCTTGGAAAACAAAGCAGCTGAGCAAAATGAGTGCACAATTCGATACAGAACTTCATTTACTGACACCGATAGAAACTAAATATTTCTATCTGCAAACCCATCACACCGGAGAAGAGGCTATGATCCTCGTGACAGCAACCCATATTGATTAATAATCTGCTGTGAACGATTCTATACTATCAGGGCTGGGGACAGGTGGTTTGATCAATTCCTCTATAGCCGAAGAATTAAAAACGTTACGCCAAAGGTGGAGGACTTCGCAACGTTGCCATTCTTTATAGTACGTTTTTAATATTTGCATGTCTTCTCAAAGGTTCGTTGGATCGAAGTAGTACATCGCACTTGACACATGGATGTTCAATCTACGCCAAAAAGAATAACTTCGTGCAGCGAAAGGTGAAACTCCAGTTCGGGGGGGCCACTCCATTGCTATCTTATCCGTAGTACTAGAGAGCAGTTCTTTGGGCTATCGAACACTACGGATAAGATAATAAGTGAACGACTCATTTCGAGCGTACTTTTGATAAGGACCGGTGGATGTCCTACATTCCACACTACCTGCCCACATCCCATCCACTTTTCTGCACAGGTGATCCACCCTGGAGCTCCTGCACCCTTAGCCCTTTGCGGAGGTGTCCTTTCTCCTGGTCCAGGACCGTTCCCCTTGGGTCATGGCAGGCGGAAATGTGAAAACGTTTCAGGGTTTCTCACCCATTACACCAATATTTATCAGAAGTCTACTTTAAATGAGTCGATTACGTGTCGTGAGCCCTCTAATCCTTATCTTGAGTATTGGAGAAAAAATGGAGTGGCCCCCCCGAACTGGAGTTTCACCACGTAATAACTCCTGCTCCTTCATTGTAGCTGAGAAGCGCGTTATCGTTGCCTTTGCGTGGCAGAGCTAATTGTGGTGCGCGAACCCATGGTGTATATTTGTGGCGCTTAGTGTGCCCAAGTCTTGTAAAAGTTGTGGTACATAGTGGGTAAATAATCTGCGCCTGTGTTTTAATTCATATTTCTGCACAAGCGCTTCATTTTGTACGAAAATTCTCGACTCCTTCAAATGGATGCCGCCAAAACAAACGTATCGGCAACCAGCCAAAAAGTCAAGTTAGATTCGGGAACATCTAGCACATTGAAACTTTCTTTCTCGTTCCCTGCTCCCTTTCATCCTCTTCGTTTCTTGTTCGGTTTCTATCTTGAGGAGGAACAAAAAACCTAAAAAAAAAATGTCTAAATGTCGAGATACCGAGCTATAGAGTTTGAAATATGTACTGGGCCGAAGGGAATTCGCTCATAGAAGGCATCTAAAACCAGACCAGCAAGCTGAATGGTGACTTCAGACCGAAAAGGTATGCGAATCCACGTTTTCAATAATTGTTTCACCTAGCACCGCGGTGGTTCCAGACCACTAGAATAAAGAAATGGGTGGTCAGGGGTGCAGGGATGAAGAAGAAAACGTGAGAAATGCCTCAAAACCCTGGAAGGGACTACTTTATTGGCCGTAGACTTCTGCCAATGCTAACGTTCTTTCTGCTAGGCAGTCAAAGTCAGGGCAGGAACGGCGATAGCGTAGCGGCGATAGCTGTTTGGGAATAGCCGTGCTAGTTCGCCGGGGCATATCCCTCACTGCGAATTGGGTGTCGGTAGGCACCCTCAGGCGGTTCGCGTGTCCTTCCACTGGGCAGGATTCCATTCTTCAAATTGCAACCTTATCGTGGGGTCTCCTTTATTGCCATACACTGCAACATGTTGTGGCTGTGACCTTTACTTTATTAGAGATGGGTTAGCTTGAGAGAATAAGGTCTGGTCGGTGGAAAGGGCATGAGACATTCGTTGCCTGGTGAAGGGAGTCGTAAAAATCACAAAGCCCGTTACGTTGTTACACTGAATGACGTGTCTTGAGCTATCAGACTGAAGATTTTCGCTGGTGCACATATGTATTCCTTAATTGTTATCTGAGCCCAAGAAGAAAATTTGGCCGAAGCAAGATATCAATTCATAAGGATTTCAAATCTATGATGTGGTAGTATTCGGTCTGCGTCATTTCTATGGTTTCTTGGAAGTCAATTTCCGCGTAGCTTTTGACACGTCCTGAAGCACGAGGACCGTTCCTCAGATGTTCCTCGAAATGTTTCCTGGTAGATTAATAAGGGTCAAACACCTTTTTTCTTCTTTGTCATTATTTGCTTATACGTGTGCATATTTTCAGATGATCAAAGGAGATACACCGACAGTCGGGTGCCATGTGAAGTTGTGCGACAGCACCAATGGAAAAAACTACGCGGTTCTCTGCTACTATGGACAGCCGTGAGTTGGTAACTTGGTATAACAACTGAGCGCATTATCAGGTTGAGTCAGAAGTAATATCCGCTCTTTCCATACCATTGCCATTCTCACCACAACATGCTTATGACGTTTTCGTAAAAAATTGCGTGGGGACTATGGCGGTTTTTCATGCAGCGCAGTGGTAGCATCTGTACTCTCCACTAACGAAAACTTGGATGCGATGAAATGTTTTCAATGATGTTCGATCTGTCTAGCTTATCAGGAGTTACAGTAATGGAAGTTTGACCGAAATGACGTGTTAAGGCCATGAAAAGGGAAATTTTACTTAATTTCCCTTTAGTGGTTCCAAAATTAATTTGGACGTGGTTGTTTCAGTAAAAACACATATCTTCCCATACGAATAGGTTTGTATTCACTTCTGTTATTCCTTTTTATCAACATGTCTACGTTATTGAAAAGAAAACGAGGAATGAATTGAACAGACATATCCGTAAGGTCTGGAAAACGTCTGCCAAACTAAAGAATATTTGGCCTTTCTGTGAGCCATGTGGTTTTTAAGTATGCTAATGTATGACCTATAGAATGAGTACAAAGTCGCACAAGCGCAAGAAAAAGGGATGACTTGGGTGGGACGCGTTACCGCGTCACGCTGTCGTCAACGTGCTAATACTGTTCGCGCTTCTGCTCGTTTGCTGAAGGGAGAGAACCACGATGAGGAATACCTCAAAACGGACCTCTGAACATTCCTCGCGTCCAATGTTACAACATTTTAAAGAGTGGTATCCGTTTGCAGTTGAACGGAAGACACATGTGGGCGCTATACTTCAACAGGCTATTGACGTCGCTTCCTTCCTGGTCCAAAAATTGGGGTCTCCCTTTGTCGGAGAAGAAAACCAAAGTAATGCGATTTGGTTTAGATCTACTTCTGCTCCAAATCCAAGCTTGTATTACATCGATGGGGCTGTTGTTCAAGCAATCGATAAAATTGTTGACCTTATGAGCTTCTTCGTAACCGTACCCCCGATTGTGCCTTGAACCAGCACTGCGATAAGAAATTTTCTAGGAAGGCGCTCATTCATCCTAGGATATTTAGAGCTTCAACAAGAATAACAGCTCCGTCTCCTTCCCAACCTTCCAATTCTACGTAAGGCCTTTGTTGAGATGGACTGTATATCTTCACTCCTCCTAACGCAAATTATTGAATCCCATCGAGAAAGTTCCAGGTACTCTTACAAGAAACTTCATATCAGGGCAATCGAATTTCAAAATAAGAACATTCCTCCTGCAGCGACTAGGAATGCCAACCTAGGACTCCGCCCGCTTAGTTGGCGTAGGAAAAAATTTGACTTATTAATGTTCCACAAAATCTTGTTCGGACGCTCCTGTCTCAGTCTCACCTCATTTTGTAATGTGAGGGCTTCTACCACTAGAGGTGATTGCGTGGAAACTTATTCTTAAGAGATAACCTCGACTTAGCTTGAGCGAGCCAGTCTTTTTATAAATAGTGTTTACTGCGATCTACCTCAATGCTAAGCGGAGAAAGAGCATTCCCGCACACACAGACTTCTAAAAAATTCCCGATGATTACCTAGAACGCGTCGTGACGACTTCCTGAATTTTTACTTATGCTCCTATTACGAAGTTATACGATATTTTGCTTTTTTTCCCAGTTCCCATGTTTTCACTTCACTGATGTTTTTTTATTGTCGCAGGTTACTTTTTTTGGTGCTACACATGCGATACCTCATTAAATAAATAATAATAATAAAGTAATAATAATAATAAAACGAGGAATGAAATGAACAGACATATCAGTGAGTTCTGGAAAACGTCTGCCATACTAAAGAATATTTGGCCTTTCTGTGAGGCATGTGGTTTTTAACGCATGCTAGTGTATGACCAATAGAATGAGTACAGATACCTCAAAACTGAAAGAAGAGAACCATGATGATGAGGAATACCTCAAAACGGACCTCTGAACATTCCTCGCAGATCCAATGTACGGCAGTTTTTCAAAGATGTGGTATGTTTGCATTGAAACAGAAGACACCTGTTGACACTGTTGTAAATTTCATCAGATAAATCGGTGAAAGTTATGAAGACAATACTAAAGTTGGAAGCGGAGATTTTCTATGACTCAACCTATTAACTGCTATGTCGTTCAGGCACGTCAAGGTGGGCGAGCCTCTCTACAAGGACGGTAAACCATGCTCTGAAGTTTTCGGCTATCACTTGCAAAGGTCGAAAGAAACTTTGCAGGCAAAGACTGAGGTTGTACTGCTAGTGATTTTTTCGCCAGAGAATAAAGAATTTTGTGAAGCATTCTGTAAAGCTGGTCTCACACTAAGAAATATGCTGAACCACACAATCCAATGCTCTCGGTAGACAAAGTGCGTACCATGATTTATTAAGTTGTTTTAAAATGAATGTCACTTTCAAATGCAAACAAAATCCGACGAAACAACACCACTCAAGCAACTCAGAAAAACAGGTGGGCGCTTCCTTGTTGTATCACGCACCGCCAATGCTCACGCAGGAATGCTAGCAAAGAATTGGAGCAATTGTGCGTTGGCGAAGTTGGACTATGGCAGGACATTTTTTGATGAGTCGGTCCTCTTTCACAACTTGCTCTACTGACTCTTGAAAGTGGCGCTCAGCTGCTGTGTGACAAGAACTGTATGACAAATAATTCAAAGGGAACCCTCCAATTTCGCGATCCTTCGCTGGGTTATATTTCGTGGTACACAGCTTCACTGTCGTGTACCCAGCTCATGTAAATGTTGTGGTTGGAAGCAGGGTCAATCCTATGTTGCGACAAGTACCAACGGGGGTGTCGTATTTTGTTGAGATTGTAGGTGGGGGGGGGGGGCGTATTCGATGTGATCTTAGAATTCATGGGCAGGGTCAACCGTCACGTTGGACCGATTTCGAAAATTTTACGACCCCCCCCCTTCTAGAGGGCCTCGATACGACCCCCCCCTCAGGGTCAACCCTTCACCACCCTCGCCTGCCATCGCCATCATGGGGCTCATTCTATAGTATTCGATTCTGAGACCAGTCGACACAGCCCAAACTCCGCCCACTTTTTTCCTCCAAAACTGTAGAGCGGGGGGTATCACCTACCACGGAACTGCAAACATCCTCTCACTTCCCCTGGAGGGGGCCGTTCTTATACACACCGTGAAACCGCAAAATTTTAGCGCGCCAACCAACTGCATCATGACTTCTCTTACTGTAGAGATAAGCCGTTTGGACAGAGCGAGCACCCGAAGTAAGGCGTGAATTATATTGTTCTGCTGTAGTCACGTACAATGCGCGACGCATTGACGCGTTAAAACGTGTGCTCGCCCTCGTTTTCTCTGCGCTCTCAACGAAGGGGAGACGGTCAAGAGTCCCCCGCGGCCGCCGCGCCAAAACTAGGTCACCGCGCGCGACGTCGCCGGCGTTTTTGCAGTTTGGAACATGGCAATTTGATAAGTTTAGGACCCGTCTCTCTGACGATCGATACAACACTTTTTTGTTCCGTCTGTGTAGTCCCCATTTCTGCACTTCTTTTTGCTTAGTTAGTCCTAGCAAATTGCCACGTTCCAACTTGTAAGGGCCGCCGTAGCGTGCGATGACCTAGTTTCGCTTGCGCGGCGACCTCAGGGGGACTCTTGCTCTACGAAGTTAGCTTCGTTGTTGGCACGGCCTTCAGAGTGGCTGCCACAGAAAGCGAGCGCAATATACGTGATTGCGGCAGGAACGTCGTAATTCACGCCTTACTTCAGGTGCTCGCTCTGTCCAAACGGCTTATCTCCTTACTGTAACATTAACGCTACCTCGCAAAAATACGACTCCCATTTTTCATCCAAATACGACCCCCCATCCCTCGCTGGACCTACAGCCGGCACGTGTGCAGCGATTGATAAGGATGACAGCACGACAGCACGCGAAGCATAGCCTTAGCGCCTTGCCTTCTTACAGTGCCGCACATCCTGCCTTTGAGGACCCTAGTTCTCACTCTAAAAGGGACTACTTCTTGGCACCTAATTCGACCCCCCCCCCCGCCCTGGCTTAGGACGCTGCCACTTCTTTCATGTTGCTTTAGGCAGGAATAGCCGTTGCCCTTTTGCTTAGATATGTGGTAGCCAATACCGAAGATCTTACGATACGAAAGCCCAACCCATCAAAATTCTATATCTTATCACACACCGATATTGATATCTTATCACCAATAACGTCACTATTAAAAAACTGATGACGGTAAGTAGCTCACTAAAATGAAGCTATCATCGTTCTGCTTGCGATTTTGATCGTCATAAGCGAGGGCTCGGTAGGGCCATGGCCCAGCTTCTCGAGTAACACAGGTACGTCAGTCAGTTGTGGAGTCCTAGATGATGACGATTGCATTTGTGGCGTTTCAGAAGACCGACATCTCGAGCAGCAATCCAATCGAGTTCGCAGAGGGTGAGCGACTTTTCAGTTGCTTAGAAACAAAGAAAAAACAAGCATATTTCTTGGTCACTGTGATAATTTAGAGAATGCTTTCGACATGTGATCCAGTGAAAGGGTGCGTGATCAAGTGTTAATGATGGATGTTCACAAGTGATACATTGTTGTGCTTCGATCACTTGTTTTTCAATAAAAAAGTAAAATTTGTGACGTATATACACAATAAAATTAACAGGTCCGAATTTCAAGGACTTCATAGCATAAAATAAGCGCTCTGTTGAAGCAGCACGAAAGCATTGCATTGATACAAACTTCAGCCCAATTCACGCCTGCATGCACATTTAGGTGGGTTAGAAATGGTTATCGATTCCAAGCGCTTATAATGGAGCGTTCAGACTCGGCGATCGTGAGTGCGATTAGGCGATTAGGCGATGACTCAAATAGAAAAGAATACGCATCGATCAGACGATTAGGCGATTAGGCGAGTGCAGTGCAATAGTGTATCATTAGCGCCTTATCAGCGGAGTGATAAGGCGCCGAAATCCACTTCCGGTTAGCAAAAACCAAGACTTATCGATGTGGAAAGGGCTGCAAGGGGTGCGTGCTAGATATGATACCGTTATCGTGATTGTCCGATTTTCATTCTAGAGTGTACTTTATTCTTAGCAGCCGCATCTCCTTATCTTATGATATCGTATCTTCTAGGGGGTAACGCTCGTCCGAACATAATCTATCTCAGACCTTATCGGTTGATAACGCGAGGGTAGCAAATCAGCGTGGAAGCCAGCGTGATCGCTTCCTTTAACACATTGCAGCCGGCGTGCATCGCCGGGTATGCACGTCGAAACTCCCACATCTGACATTTGTGCATCGCCCGGTATGCACATTGATTTCGAAGCTCCCCTATCATTTTTTTCATTACTTCTGTAACTATAAAAATTCCACTAGTGCCTTGAATCCACTGAACACATGTCTGTCTACATATTCAATTTGAAGATACGTTTGGAACTTCAAATTGCATAACCAGTGCCTCAGTTTGAACCTTCATGAATGTTGAACAATAAACTCCAATGATACTAGTTACTGGATATATTTTCTGATGAGAAGCCGAGCAAGAAATAGTAAGAAGCGAAAGAAAAAAGGAGAAAAAGTAGAACAAAGAAAGGACAAAAACAAAACGTTCTCAGCCTAATGGGGAGGTTGCAATTGAGATTGTTTGTTGTTTGGGTCGGGTGGCGAAATACATGGACCTTTTAACGGAATATATGGGTCCTGCAGAGAAATTCCACAAAATGTCCCGAATGTGAAATGTGTGCATCACCGGGTATGCACGCAGGTAATGCAGCTACGTCACATGTGTGACATGCGCCGAAATCAGTGTTGGGCGTCAATGTGAAGCGAAAAGCATTCACCTTTACTGCCTTACAACATTTTTTCGTGGCCCGGATCTTTAGGTTTGGTGGAAGCGTTGAGACGACTGCTAAATCTGGTTTTGAGCGATTTGTTTCTGCTCAATGCTATTTGGTGATGAGGAAAAGTTGTTCATTACGCCCTGACGCACTCCACGTAGCATTCTGTGGCTAGTCCAATAATACCTGCAGCTGAAATACACTCCACAAAATCGATTGCACGGATCTCCGCTGAGATTTCAAATTTTTCAAGTGGCAGAACAAATGCTGAGCTCATATCATGTATTTATATTGTATTGTATTTGATGTAAGGACGTCCGTTCAAATAATCTCACGTCACAGTCGTCTTCTGGGCACCATCGGTGGGAACCATGATCCAGTACGATACCATGATGGAGTACGCCTGAACGAAAATCTATGTATACCATTTCATCTCTTGTCAAAAAGACTTTTCTTAGTGGAGCCTATGTTACAGAATTCTCTTCAAAATGGCACCCGTATTTCGTCATAACGCACGCCCCCGAAAAGGTTGAAATATTCTCCCAAAATGAACCATAAATCAATGACGGCATCGCGTGTTCAAACTTCTCGCAATGAAAAATCATTCACCAGAAACCGAGGAACGGCTGAGTAAAGCACGGTGCCAAATGGTGTGGCTCTTGTACACGAATGCGAATGTATTGGTGCGAAGTGGGCCGGCAGTGAAGAAAAAAGGAAAAGAATCCGTCGAAAACGCTCAGGTTGAGGGCTCACTCACCTTCCTAATCGGCTGTGCTAAGGAATGAGAGACTAAGCGCGGAGAGGAGAGTATGAGGCGAGAGAGCGCTACAGATGAGAGAGCGCCAGACAACAGCCTGATAAGAAAAAAATCTGCAGCTTCAGCAGCTTACTTTGCAAGGCCCAAGCGCTCTTGTCGGTTGGTTTCCGTGCACGGGAACGCCACATTTGTGATTGTCCCTAGGAGTCTATACTACAAACCGAAGCGTTTCACACAACCGCTGTCTGGGTTCCTTGATTACTCCTGACCTTGTGCTCACAGTAGCTTGCAAAGCCAGCTTGGGACCTCGGCGAAATTACATTTCATGACAGACTGAGAAGGAGCTTCCAAAGCAGGGTCGGTCCTATCGTTGCTACTTTTCGAAAAATTTTTACGACCCCCCTCCCCAAAGGTGGATTTGGTACGACCCCCTTCTCGACCCTCGACCACCATATTCCTCGCTATAGTATTTCATTCTGGTATCACTCGAACCACGAAAACTCCGCCCACTTTTTCCTCCAAAAATGCCGTCGAGCGGGGGGGGGGTATATAGTCACTCTGAAACCGTAAAAATTACCTAAATTCCCTAAATTTCCACCAATTTACCCCCTCCTACCTTTAATCCCACGCTTCATTTTATATACGCGCGCTGAAACGGCAAATTTTCTCCCGCGCCACTCCTCCCTCACCTCATGCAACTTCTCACAATCGAAGCAAGTACGACCCCCCCCTCTACAACCTCATCAAAATATACGACCCCCCTCTACAAACTCATCAAAATG